CTCTCTCTCTCTCTCTCTCTCTCTCTCTCTTTCTCTCTTTGGTTACGCTTGGACCCCCCCCTGGTACAAATCCTGTACACGCCCCTGCCGAGCAAATTGCCAACATTGAAAAACGAACCCCCCCAATATAAAGCTGGCTACGGGCCTGCCTAATCACTACGTGATCGAATTAAAAGTAGTCGTATATAGCTTTAATTGGTCGAGCTACCCTACACTGCAGCAGGGAGAACAGGCCGGTGGATGGGCTTCGGCGCTTCAAGTTCAGGTGGTCCGTGAACCCTTTTGGGGGTCCGTGGATGGGCTTCAGGGGGTCCGTGGATCACTGGATGGGCTGCAGGGGGTCCGTGGATGGGCTTCAGGGGGTACGTGGATGCATATGGCTTCAGGGGGTCCGTGGATGGGCTTCAGGGGTCCGTGGATATGGGCTTCAGGGGGTCCGTGGATGGGCTTCAGGGGGTCCGTGAACCCCTTTGGAGTCCGTGAATGGGCTTCAGGGGGTCCGTGAACCCCTTTGGAGTCCGTGGATGGGCTTCAGGGGGTCCGTGAACCACTCACATGATACACTCACATATACTGTGTGAAATTTCATTAGCGGAAAGAGTGCTATACCTTGAAATAACGAAGCACCTTTGCTTTTCTAGTTCACTGATAATACAGTAAAACTCGCATAAATCACAATGTATCGACAGCAGAGTATGAGATGTTATGCATATACAGTTACATTATAGTTCAGGTTATATCATTGTTTTGTTATTTATTGATAATTATGAGTTGCTTTTGAGTTGCCATGCAGTTTATAACTATTGGCTGAGAGGTATATGATACATGCGTCAAAATACTCAACGAGAATCCGCCGCACACGTGAGTATTTTGACGCATGCATCATTTTACTTGAGTAAAATTACTCACGTGTGCGCCCGGATTTATCATAAAATCAAATCATATTATAAATCTAGTTTAGTGATTATACTAATTCGGACAAAAATATACGATTGTATTACTCGTGTGCACTGTGCCCCTCCCAATTCTAGACGTGATGCGGTCATGATCATGAGGCGCGCCGAGGATTGACACTTTGTGTCTTCAAAGCACAGCCTACGCCGCACCAGACTTTGATATTTTTAAGTATGGGGACCCATTGGACCACCAAATCGCCGATCTCAGGAACTAGGGCATTCTGCTATGTTAGAACGGTTTCCTACGATTGTGGTGGAGAAGGTAGAACAGGGAGGAGGAGCGGGACGAGTTAATCAAAGTTGACTACACACAAAACGAGTACGTGCCCTTTTCGCGGTAGTTTGCCGGTGTGGTGTTTTGAACATAAACATTGTTCAAAACTACCCATTGTCAACTCAAAATGCTAAGAATAGATTGTAACGTTATTATTTGATATCTCCTGCTTATTATGAGCTATAATACTTTATAGCATATATACTTATACTTTATATACATAGAAATTTATTAATTATCATAATGTAAAAATGCTCCAAAGTTGAACTAGTGCCGTTTTGCTCAAGTTGTTGATAGATGGCGCTAGAGTCGGAAACGTGGTCCGGTATAAATTTCAGGATCGAATGATTCGATTTTGGAATAGACTCATTCGATCTGCGAATCGAACCATTCGATTCTGGAATCGAATCATTCGATTCTGGAATCGAACCATTCGCTCTTATATCTTCTTTATACGCTCTTGATAGGATACGAGTAACGTGGCTGCTGTAAAACTTGTAGTAAAAAAGCGTTACAAATTGTAACGGAAATCTGCTTGTGGCAGTGGTAGATTGAGCCCATGAGCAAGAGCGCCATCTGTCGTGGAGTTTGTCTCAGACCGTGACACCGGGCCTCGAATTTGGCGCACGTCTCCACGGCGGACAGCGCTTCATACTTGAACATCCCCGCGGTCGCGTGCGCATATCCCGCGGAACTGCGCGTCTCATCCGCGCGCAGCGCTCAGGATCAACAGCAAAGCTGTGCCACGCAATCTTGTATCATGTCTCTCTGGATTGTTGACAGATACAGTACCACAGACTGTGACAGACACAGTAAATTCGAGAATCATTGCCTGAGCTGTATTTGCCTATGTCACATGAGCTAGCAACTGGGATTTATGTTAGAATTAATAAACCACATTCTTGTTCTTTATTTTGGTTGTCACGCTACATATAAAAATACTCTTGGCATGCATACAGTACAAAGTGACCTAATATGTTTTTGTCATTTTCGTTCTCATCTTCATGCATTTTCATTATCTGGAAACCCATGCATTCACCTAAAACTAATGGCGATGCATACCAGACAACTGAAAATGTATATATAAATCTGGTGAAAAGCATAATTTATACTACACAGCGGGTAACAGGCGTTTTAAAACTGTAGTTCCACCATTCCACCATAATATCTGGATCTTACTGTGATATATTAGACAGACGTTTGTAACAAGGCTTATGAAACTTACAGATGAGTATTCTGAAGACAGTGTGTAAACGGAAGATTAGAACAACAAACGCGGTTACACAAAGTATTCTTACAAGAGATACACCACTACCTTGCATAAAAATACAAATTCAGTATTTACGGAGTGGCGGAATTTATAATTATACTGCTAATTTCATGTCCATATGATAGCATTTTTATGAAGCTTTACCAAGCCCTAGATTAGAATCATGAACATATGTATATCATAAGTTATACACATGTTCATGCTAGAACTCAAAAATGTATATAGCAGGTTGTAATTATCTTGTTGGATGGATTCTTAGGGAAATTGTTACAGTGCATTGTACTGTACATGTATTATGTAGGTATGGCAAGATTCTCTTTATTCTTTATCTACCTGTTATTTATAATGTAAATGTTATGCAAACAAAAAATATACATACACCTTTAATATAAATTACACATTACAAATATCCCCCACTATAACTGTCTGAATCGACTGGTCTACATAAATATAAATATATAACTGGCTGCCTTTGTAGGTTTAACAGAACCTCTATTATGACGAACTTGTCATGGTGCATTTTATAGAACATCCTGGAAAACCCATAATCACACGAAACAGTGGTTTTGTTTCTCTTATTAAAAATCCTCCATATATTTGCAAGGCAACACACTGTAAAGAAGAAATAGTGCAATGTGTTTATTCCACAAGCAACGGCTGAACTCAAATGTAAACGCCAAATACGCAAGATACTTTTGCTGCGAGTGATTCAACTAGAGTAATGTATCCCCCACAGCAACTTTTTTAAAATATTACTGACCAAATTTCTTAGTTTTGTCATCAATATATTGTGTAGAAGACAAAAATTGGGATTAATTAGTACATAATGCGGACAGTGGTAGGATGGACATCACATCACGTAAATTTCCTGATGTCTTGACAGGACAGAACTGAGGACGAAGACTTGAATGACTGGGTTATCATTAAATATTTGGAGGTATATCAGCATCTGTTTTATGAGCCTGACACGTTGCTTTAAACGTTAGGAGGATACAGTCAAAACTGTACATACATAAGGGCCACTCGTAAGAAAGCAATGTGTCCTTTATAACCAGGTGCTTTTAGATAAAGGTGGTTTCACTGTATAACTGCTGCTCAAGGGAAACAGAAAGTGTTCTGCATAGACTGGCCTGTGTCTGTTCTATAGAGGTGACTGCTAGCAGAGGTTTGCCTGTATATGAACATTGTTCTATAAATCAGAAGTGTTTCACATGGCCCATTATACAGGTGTGCAGGCTGCCATAGAAAATTACCTATAATCGACTTGTTCTTTTAAACAATGAGACTATGAGGTCCCAATCCTGTGCAGGGATATCCCACATGGTACATTATCAGTCAGCATAAGTTGATAAAAATTACAAGAATACGTTGTACACGAACGCTTGCATTATTGCTTTTCAATGAAAAGGAGGTTTTACAATTTCATAATGGATCTCTACATGTATCCTAAAAATATAGTACCACATAAAAACCTTACCGTATACTATACATCAATTATTGTTACGGTGTTAGCTTATATATTATTACATTACCCTCCTATGTAATTCATTTTTCCAATCAAAATTACATAAGGACAAGACACAATCAGAGCACAATTTTCTACAAAATTCAATTTACAAAAATTAAAATGAGCCCACGACAATTACGCTAACCTACATTAACTGCAATGGGTACAAAGCAAACCTCTGACCTCTTTAGAAACAAGTTAACAAATGTAAATACTGACAGAGTGGCTGAAAATCTGCTAAAATGTGCCTGCTGTGATGTTTTCTGGAAGACAGCTTGGTAATCAATGCATAAGGTTGATACGCCTATAAATCCAATACTATGTGTGGTTGTAGCATTAATTACACAATTTTCACCCTATATTTTCCCCTAGTGTTCATTGAATTGAGCATTGAAATTTAGTCTATCAATTACATGGCAACAAGTTCGGTTATGCGAAAGCATAGGTATATAACTCGGGTGATAGGATAACTAGCAAAAACTATTTAAAGCACGTTTCATGAATTTTGAAACTGCTTTCGGTAAAATTCAGTTACTATGCACAGCATCATCTGACTGACAGAGTGAAAGGACATAAACACACAAATACCTCACAAAACTCGACTACAAATGTGTTATATTAAATAAAACACTTCATGGTACAGTTTGCATAATCACTGCATCAGCATGGAAAACATACACAACAGCGATTATTGCTAAGCATGCTCAAGCTAAGCTGAACAGTTAGCTCAAAAATCACCAAATCAGTAGAGCCTGGCGCAGCTCATGAAACGTGAACCTAGTGAGAGCCTCGTAACTATTCCTACAGGGGGCAGCAACAAATACGGTAACATTACCGAAGCAATGCATGTATGTCGATTTCCATCAGCTGCTGCTAGCAAGCGGCCCGCGTCGAATAACAGATAACCTAAACAACAGCGAATGAAATGCGCACGTTGTCACGACATCGATTCAGCGACTCTGTCAGTATTTAACGATTCAACTACTATATCACTGGAATGACTCATAATGCCGTCCTCTTGATCAGTTCGTCTGTGCGTTCGCCGCCGTAGCCCGGCGACGCCGGCGAGTGATTCGGCGAGTAGCTGCCCTTCTTCTGCAGTGTCTGATATTCGTTATTGAACTCCTGTACCGCGTCGCTGAAGTCCGGGGTCAGTTCGCGAAACCGTACGTCGGCGGCGGGTTGCGCCAACGCCGCCGGACGGCCGGGCAACGCGGCGTCCGATACGGTCGCAGTTAAGTCGTTGATCTCGACGCGTGTGATGTACTTCCCCAGCGGCGGGCGCGCATCGCGCTCTTCTGCCGGTTCGTGGTTTGTCCACTGAGCGGCGCTGTAGTAGCCGTCCTGGTAGCGATCGCCCATGTTGTCGTACTCGCTGCGCGTCGGCGATGCGTCCTTCTTCCGCCTCGCGTCGTCGTCGTTGCGCCACAAGGGGGCGTCGGCGTAGTTGCTTGACGCCGTGCTGTAGCGCGAGTCTCGCTCGCTGTACGAGTTCTGCGAGTCGCGATGCGCGTCCGTCGTTCGCAGCTCGGCGATGCCGCCGCGGGGCGCCGAACGCTCGCGGCTGCCGTCTCGCTCCTCCCGCATGGGGGCATCGTCGCTGCCAGGCAAAGGCTGGTCGACATTGTTCTGCGGCAGCGCGGTAATGTCGGCGTCGGCGCGCCGCCCAATCGCGTGGTCCAGGGTCGGCTTGATCATGATGCCGAACGGTCGCTGCGGGAATTCGATGGCCTTCGCACGCGGCGGCAGAAGCAGCTTAGCGCGTCGCAGCTCTGCCATGCACTCCTGCAAGTAGCCACACGAGAACAATGGCAGTCGGTCAGGGACACGGTCGTTGTCAGAGACACTGCGAGTAGTTACGACGTCATGAGTCCAGAATGTCATAACTTGCGATGTGAAATGTAGCGTAAAAGTTACGATATTTTAGACTTACGACATAGTCATAACTATTTACGATGTTTCTGACAATGAACCCTCAGAATAAGTTACAATAATAAACTAGAAAGGGCAGTTGTCGCCAACTACATGTATCCCCCGTGTTCTCCTCCAAGATGTGTAAGTATACGAAGTTTGGTCGCGCTAGGTCAATTAGGGGCGGAGTTATAGAGCGGAAAGAGTGTAAAAGAAGGGGAACATTCACTCCTAACTTAAGGTATAGGGGGAAATGCAGAATTGGCGCACAAATCTAAACGGCTCGACCTTAGGCTCGTGATAGTCGGTGTATAGCATCATGGTAGGAAAAGCCATCACTGTGCCGAAATTGGAGGTCACAGGTCAAAGGTCAATGGCACAGGGCAGATTTTAGACATTTCTGAGACATGGTCTGACGGAGCGAATGAAAAACTTTTTTGTTTCAGCGGTGACCTAGCATTTTTTATGGCATTATTGAAAGGACAATGAAATCTACTTTCTGCTGACATGCGAAGAGTAAGTGTCAGAATAAACATTTGACCCTCAAGAGGAGGTTGAACATGGATTGTTGACTTCTGTTAGAAAGAATTTGACTGCTGGGTTTGCTAGTAGAATCTATACATGCCTGGATGTATGAGGCTACAATGTCACAGTGAAATTTCAAAAGCTAAATTTGTTTAAGAAAGGTTTATGCTCCTTAAACGTATAATTTCTATGGCATTCTGTACTGTCAGTATTACATGTAACGTATGCACTGCCAGTGGCTACTGCCAGTGCATGTGTTGGTGGTACTGTGGTTTTTGCCTGCTTTAATTGGTTACAGGTGGCAGCTCTCTATTGCGCAGCCTGTAGGCTTGCGTAGGTAAATGGATGAGGTGCTTACCGTATTCTGTCTTGCAGATAGTTGTTGCTACTTCGTATGATGGGAGCTTCCATCTTAATCTGAAGACACTTAAACGTACGCGCCATCTCGTGGCAACTTTCATAACGATCCCCAACGAACATTTTTTTGAGAAGGTTCCTGATACAATCCTGTGCATTCCACTGTTTCGGCGTGTATGTGAACACATTTGGACTAACAGGGTTTACTAGAATCCCACAACTCCACCACAGAGTCACCGCAGTAGACGTAGATGAGCGCTGTCGCTCTGCGGCAACTTGTTGGTAGTAGATTTAATTATTGAATAAGGGCTAGGGGTTTTGATATTA